AACCTACGCTTCCATTCCAACCCGGAACGCTGACATTGCTAACGCATGCCGGACTAAACCTAACCCTGGCACCCGAGTAACGAAAAAAGAGCAGGGGGTTGTACGAGGTACCCTTGAAGCCGTGGGAATCCCTCCTGCCTCCTGCTATTCTCTGCGTGTTTCGAGTGCATACCAACTGCCGCACCGGGCGGCATCTTGACACCGTAGCATGCAAACAATGACAATGACAACTCCGATTCAACTATCACCTAGTCAAGCTACAGACAGAAAATCGTTGCAACAGGGCTGCTTGTCGACTAACTTGTATGGACCCCCCCCGATAGTGGCGGCGACGCATTTTCTGGCACTTTAAAACACTTGCCTGGGACACACACAATCACAATGAATTACTCGAGCGGCGATCCAAACCAATTGATTGGCTTGTACGTTTTCTCGGCGGCCCAGTTTTTAGCGGCAACATGCGCTTTTGGTACTTTACTGCACGTATTGCACAGCATCAACGCCCGGTCCTTCCCCATCCCACCCGTGCAAATATCACACCAGCATACCCCACAAGTTCTAGTCCCACTGTACGGACCGGCCGTCTTTTTGCAAGCCCCCCCATGGCATACACGCTGACCGCGTGCGCCTTTCACGCGGTACGACTCCACTGTCGTCGTGCGCCTTGCCCCCTTCCCAGAGTGACCCACGTTACACAAGGACATGAGGTGATTCGCGAGCCGACGGTCCCAGTCAAAACGCTCCATCTTAATAGCCTTCTCGACTAGGCATTGAAAATCTTGGAGCTCTGCCACCGTGAGGTCGCAACTGCCCACCTCCGCCCCTCCCTCTCCGGCTTCCCCGGCGTCCCCGGCATCACCCACACGCCCGGCTCGTGTCGCCGCCTCCAACGCCGCGGTAAGCTGCGTGGCTAGCACCCAAAGCATCGACGGCGGGTTCAGCGGCGACATCAAGCTAAGACCGCATGCGACTTGCCCCCTTGGGCGGTCGGCACGCACGGTCCTTTACGTACTACTCGAGGCGTGCCCGACCTTCTCCGACAAGATCGTCGGCTCCGGTATTACCGTGGCGATGGACAACTTCTTCACGGGAGCCTCCCTTCTGCGATGCCTCGCTACGCGCGACACTTTCGCCGTAGGGACTCTACGCGGCAACCGCACCGGAGTGGACCTCGCCAAACATCTCTGGCACAAGGAGGGCCTCAAGGCGACAGAGCGTGGTGCACCGCGACCTATTGTCCGCGCTGTGTTACTGTGAAGTTGTGGCCGTTCTACTCTTTCTCACTCCGGTCGCGAGTGACACAAACACAACTCCACCAATCTCTTGTCGGTCGCAAAATACAACAACGATTTGGAGGGGAACTAGGAAAAAAACAAAGTCACACACAACCAGCCTGGGTATCATCACCTCCTTCAGGACGATGTCCTGCGCCTCCTTCGGGAATGTCTTCTCGAAGAACGTGAATGGTAGAGCCTGGCCCTTGCCGTTGACGAAAGACCGCAAAGCTGATAGCACTGCTTTGTCGACCTTCGGTAGGCTCGCCTTCAGGTCGTCCGATAGGCTGAACTTGTCGCCGCCGGGATGCTTGTTTCTCCGGGTGTTCGGCTCGGATGACACGTCCCGCGGTAGTCCCTTCAACATCCACCCCAGAGGATCTTCCGGGAGGGGCGGTGGAGGTGGTTGACCTTCCTGGAAAATGCCAACAACAAGCACCGAAGGGGATGGAGCTCATTCGATAGCAACTAATAGTAATGCATAGTAATGCACCTGAAGGAACTGAATCAGGCATCAGTACCAAATAACACATGGCATGAGGCAGGCTCAAGAGTATACGTTTGGTCCGAGTACAACAGGCACAGATGACAGNAATGCCAACAACAAGCACCGAAGGGGATGGAGCTCATTCGATAGCAACTAATAGTAATGCATAGTAATGCACCTGAAGGAACTGAATCAGGCATCAGTACCAAATAACACATGGCATGAGGCAGGCTCAAGAATATACGTTTGGTCCGAGTACAACAGGCACAGATGACACCTAAAGCAATTAGTGACTCCAAAACTTTGCATTGGTCAGACGCTTAAAAAGCGCGGTCGATGATACCGCTGTGAACCAAACACCTACATGAGAAAAAATGTGTATCGCTATCGAACAGAGACAAAAGCGGCACCGTTGTGTACTCGTGGCGTTAGAAGTATTATGCAGGGAGACATTTCTAGGAAAACACACCAGCGCTGGAAATTAGGCTTACTCTATCTGCCTGACCTTGGATTTTTCCTGCTTCTGGAGCTTGAGGTGCCACACACTCTCGTAAGCCCTCCTGGAGCCGGTATCCTGAATTTTCGCCGCCTGGGCGTAGTGCGCCCCCCGAGACTTTGATATGCGAGGATCCGCACCAGGAATTTGCAGCTCGTCCACGCCACCACCCAACTTGTTCTCCGAGTCATAATTGGCTGCCACGTCGCTGGTCCCCACTCCAAGAGCTGCACCAGATGCTGTTTTGCGGCGCTTCCGTTGTTGGCCGTCATGGTGCCTGCACAATTCTGGCACCCTACCTCCAACCTTATTGCCGCACTTTTGGCCTTTGTTCCGGCCGCGGGCTACGGTAGCGACACATACAGCAGAGTTGGCCGGAGAAGCATCTGGTGAGGCTGGTTGCTGCTGCTGCAGCTGCTGCTGCTGCTGCGTGACCGGTTGGGGCAGGGTCCGCTGTTGTTGTGCTTGCTGTTGTCGACCTGCGCCCGTGTTGTCACTTATGTCAGGCGAGTTCGAGTTATTGGCAGGAGAAGGCTCCGGTGGACATCGTTCATGCTGCTGTTGTTGCTGTTGCCGCTGCAGCTGCAGCTGTTGCGGCTCACGCGAGACCGTCCGGAGCGGCGGCGTGACCGGTGATGCCGTGGTCGATTGTTGTCGCTGCCGCCGAGCTGCCCGTCGCGTGTTGAGACCAGGGTTGTGCGAATTCGCAGCATACACCGGTTTGTACGATGGCCCATTTCAAACTTGGCATCGTCGTCCTCATCATCACTAGCCTCATTTGGGTCGACATAAGAACCGCTGTCCTCCATGCCAAGCTCGCTGTCCTCAGTGCCAGCGTGCAAAGCAAGGGTGGATTGCTGCACGAGCGAGACGTACACTGATATACAAGGAGGAACACCAACTGGCGCTGCCGGCAACGCAACCGCAAGCGCTACCAACAACGCCGCCCAGACAGGCAGGACAGATCACGCGGCGCGTAGAGGCATCCCCGAGAGCTCTCCTCGGTGACCTGTGTGGATGCTACTTGTGTTCGTGTGTGGCGGGGAGGGGAGGCGGGCGCTCGCTGGCTTGCTGTGCTATACAACTCCTTGCGTGTGGGTTCGGGGATTGATTCCCAGCCTCCCCTCTACGACGAGACCGTCTGTTCGAGGCTTTCAAGAAAAAAAAAAGAAGGTAATATGAACTATCAATCATCTGTCAGGAGGCCTGAAGACCCAAAAGGGTTAATAAAATAAAAATAACCGTAGACATACAGGGGCCGAAATCGACCTAGTGAGTCCCTCGTGGGCGAACCAGGACACAACAGATAGTAGGCGGGTGGTGTCCCAAGGTGCAACTCACCGCCGCGCTGGCTCAGCGTGGCGGTGAGGATGCACAGACGGTGGTAGTGGCGAGAGGGGTGTATGGACACTGTTCCCGCGGCAGTAATGCATAGCGGCAAACTGCACCTGGCAACCACCGTCGCGGAAAGCTTGGCCCACGAAGCTGGAGGAGTAGAGAGATTCGTAAACACCACGTCAGTAAGCACCGCTCGCGGGAGAAGGGAGACGACCGCGGGCACCGCGGGGAGGGAGTGCTGCACCCTCCTCGTCAAAACACCACAGGCAAGAACCGAGCTCTGCAGAGATGGATTGATGCGAGGAAATTCGCCGCTCGGAAAATACGGAAGAAAGCACACCCGCAACGCGAGGTGGACCGAGAGAGACACGAGACCGCAGCGGCCGTCAAGGCAGCTGCGAAGAAGAAGGCACGAGAGGGCGACCTATCGTTCGGCACGTTCAACGTACGCACGCTCGCCTACAGCGGTAGGAACCCCATCGGTCACAACGTGATGACGGTCATGCAGATTTGTTCCGCGACCGGCTGTGATGTGATAGGACTTCAGGAGACCCGACGAGAGGGGCAAGGTTCAATTGCACACGACGGGTACGTGATCATCTGGAGTGGCGCCCGTGCTGGCACCAAGGACAAGAGGGGCGTACACGGTGTGGGCATAGCGATCAAGGAGGCCATGTGGGAGAGTGTGGGCGAGGAAGGTAGGACGGTGGAGTGCATTAGCCCGAGGCTGATGAAGGTGCGTCTGCAAATTGGCCGCACCTGCGGAGTAACTTTCGTGGTGGGGTACGCCCCTACGGAAACTGCCCGCAACACCGCGGGCGGTGATGTCAATGCCAAGGACTCCTTCTGGACTGCTCTCGACGCAGAGATCCGGGAGGTCCATAGCCGTGACCATCTCGTGGTACTAATGGACGCCAACGCACGTACTGGCAGGAGGCGAGACGGATGCTGCGATGCCAAGATTATGGGCGCGTACGGACGCGACATTATGAACAACAACGGGGAACGACTCCTTGGACTGGCGTCAGACAACCAACTCTCCCTGACCAACACCTACTTCCGGACACCGAAAGGTGGAGTGCAGCACACATTCCAGAGCTCCAACAAGGGAAAGGAGAAGTACCGCCTCGACTTCATCCTCATGCGTCAGGCGGACCGGCGTTTCGTGCGCAATGTCTCCGTCAAACGTGTCGACTTCAAAGACTCTGACCACAACCTCGTGCTTACGACTGTCCGCCTCCCCCCCCGTGTCGCACCCAACCGACGAGTGCGGGGGAACAGCGGAAGCAGCCGGATCCGTATCGACCTCGAACGGTTGAGGAAGGATGTGCACCTACGGGCCGTCTTCCAAGACAGGGCTCTCAACCGCCCTCCGCCCACGGCCCTCAGCAGGCCAACGGGAGAGACCGCCGCCGAGCTCACCGCTGTGGTGATGTCGGCCGCTGCGGAGATCGCGCCGCTGGCGAGGAGCGCACGAGGGAAGGGAGGATGGTACACGAGCGAAGCGCAGCACGAGATTTCCGAAGCGTCTAGGGAGATAAGAGTGGCCCAACAGCAGCTGCGCGGGGCCTCAAAGAACAGCGACTTAGAGACGACCCTGAAGGCGAAGCTCAAGGCGGCGCGGAAGAAACGCAGCAGCGCGAGGTGGAGAGCACTGGAAAAGTTCTTCGAGGGCTATGTGAGGCAGCTCGAGAAGAAGAGCCGTGAGGGGGACCAGGCGGGTTTCTACAGGCACCTGAAGATGATCGACGTCGAAGGTAAGAGGCCACTTACCTCCCAGAACATCAAGGACGAGGACGGTAAGGTCCTTCGGGACCCCACGCTTACCCGCCAGCGGTGGGCGCGGTGGTTCCACAAGCTCCTTAACACCAAGTCGCCGACCATCGACCTGCATGCGGCTGACAAGGTCAAGCGGTGGCCCACGTGCGTGCCACTCGACGACATCCCATCTCTACTTGAGGTTGAGGAAGCGGTACGGGAAATGGCCAACAGAAAGGCCGTCGGGCCGGACGACCTACCGGCTGAGCTGATCAAGCTTTTCCTGGACGGAGATCAAGGTCTCCTCCGCGAATTCCACGCCATTGTCGTGGACGTGTGGCAGACGGGGGACGTACCACAGCAGTGGAAGGATGCCACCATCAAAGTGCTGTTCAAGAAGGGGGACACGATGGAGTGCGGCAACTACCGGGGCATCTCTCTCGTTGCACACGCCGGCAAGGTGCTGCTTAAGGTCGTTGCAACACGCCTAAGCCACTACTGCGAGCGAGAGGGCATCCTCCCGGAGGAGCAGAGCGGTTTCCGCCCACACCGGTCGACGCTCGACATGCTGTTCGCCATCCAGCGGCTCCATGAGCTCGCGAGGAAGAAGAGTACTGCGGTGTTCGCGTGCTTCGTCGACCTCACCAAGGCATACGATTCGGTGGACCGAGACCTACTGTGGGACGTGCTCCGACGCTTCGGCGTGCCCCCGAAGATGCTGGCGGTCATTCGCCACTTCCACGAGGGCATGAGGGCGCGGGTTCGAACGGACGACGGGCAGTACTCGGAATGGTTTGACGTCGGCCAAGGTCTCCGACAGGGGTGCAACCTGGCCCCGCTGCTGTTCAACTTGTTCTTTGCCGCGATGCTCATGGTCGCCGTGGCCGAGTTCGACAAGGACCCCAAGGTGACGGCGGACATGGTCAAGATCGGGACACAAGTGGAGTACACGGGCAAGAAGGGCAGGTCGGCGGGGAGGAAGACGACGGTGGTGACGGACGCGGAGGCCTTGTGGGCCATGCTCTACGCTGACGACGCGGCCATCGTCTCGCGCTCGCCGGAGAGTCTCGAGAAGATGATGTCGGTCATCGTGCGCGTGGCCGGCCTGTTCGGACTGATGGTATCGGAGCCAAAGACGGAGATCATGTGCATGCTGCCGAAAGGGATCGAGGAACGCCCGTTCACGGTCAGCGCCGCCGGCCAGACGTACAAGCAGACAGATCGGTTTGTGTACCTCGGACGTACCATCTCCGCGGACGGGAAGGCCGACCGGGAGATCACGAGCCGCAGCTGCCGAGCGTGGAAGTGCTACCGCCGGAACAGTGCTTCGATGTACGACAGGCGACGGGCCGACCGCCAGCTCAAGATCCGGCTTCTCCAGGCTGAAGTGGTGGAGACTCTCCTGTATGGGTGCGCCTCGTGGAGCCTAACAGCGGAGCACTACACGAAGCTCAATGGGACCCACCGCCAGTTCCTCACACGGTGCATCGGCTGGAGCAAGCGGAAACGCTCAGACCGCCACCTGTCCTATGCCCAGGCCCTCATCCAGGCAGGCTGCGAGGAAACCATCGAGGCCACCGTGCGCAAACGGAGACTGTGTTTCGCGGGCTTTGTTATGCGCATGGAGGACAGCCGCCTCCCCAAGCGCATGCTGTTAGGAGCGATGGCGGGGGGCGTGGGATACCGGGGCGGGCAGGAGAGCGACTGGGTGTCTCGTCTAGGAGAGGACCTCGTGGCCTTCAACATGGGAGACGAAAAGGAAGGGGGGAAATGGAAAGAGAGCGCCAAGGACTCGGAGGTGTGGTACAACAAGGTCGAGGACGGGGCGGCATGGTTCATGAGGAAATGGCACAGGCAGGAGGCGGAAGCGTCCGCGAAGCGCCAGCGCGCGAGGGAAGCAGAAGCAGAGAGTACGACCATCTCAGGACCGAAGAGAAAGAGAACCGGCGAAGCGGCGGTGGGGGGGAAGAAACGGCGACCGGGCACTGCTGTAGAAGCGAGTAGGGCGGCCGAGGCAGCGCTTGTGGCGAACTATGTACCCGGCTGATGTTGTTGCGCCCTGTTTCCCTCCCTGCCGTATGCTATACTCCTTTATGTATGTCCTTTTTATTGCCTTCGGCCTCTGTGCTGTGTTTCTTTTTTCATGACCTCCCTGCCTACGCTGCTGTGTTGGGTACCTTGAGCACGCTTTGCTGTTGCCTTTGTTTTTGTACGTCTGGCTGTCTGCCCATCTGCCGCCTCTTTGCCCTGTTTGCTCCGTTACTCCCATGCCCTGGTGCGCAGTGCCTGATGCTGGTACGTTACCCCTTGATTTTTTCTTTCGGCGGGGGTGGGAAGCGGCCTCCTTTATTTTTCTGTTATTTTTGTTTTGTTTTATTTTGATCGGTGTCCGAGGGCTCTTTTCTCGAACGGTCGGTGCGATACCTGTTCTTTTCATTCTATCATTTTGTTTTCTTTTCCCGAGTGGTTTGTACCCTATTTTTTTTTTTTTCTCGCGGCGTCGCATGTGCCGGGTTTTGAGACCACCCCATTTTTTGTGGACTATAGAGCTAATGTGAGAAACAACAACAACACGTAGCCTTTCGCTCACGCTATGGATTCATTGCTAATCTATCTTAGACTTACTTCTATAGATAGAGATGGATTTGTTGTGTGATAGTAAGAAGAAAAAAAAATAGCAATCTCCGTTCTCTCCGTTCGTAACCAGTTCACACGTGTTCGCGCCCATAGGAGAGCAAAAAAAAGTACAGACAAAAAATAACGCCGCGGGTTTCAGCGGGGCAAACAGACAATATCCCCCCACGTTGGCGCCCCCAGGGTCACCACTGCTACTACCTTGTCACCAGCCCAGGGCTCCACACCAACACCTCGGATCGGCACGAAACTTGGCGGGAACTTCGATCAAGTTGTGTAATACACCGGTGAGAGGTTCATTGGTTTGATAATGTCGGCAAAGTGGAGAAAGAAAGGTGTATATGGCTTGAGGGCACAAGAGGAAAGTTTCGGACCACGGTGACACCGGGTTTGCCAGGCAACTTTCAGCAAATAAATTTGGTTACCATCAAAACGTGCTCTGCAGCAGCGTTGAACTGGCAGCTGACCGAGTCCATAGATGTAGATTGAATAAAAGATGTGCACTAATTGGGATCAGCACTACAGCGCGCGAAATCGGTGTAGCAGATGTGCCTCCAAAAACGCGGCGGAACTTGCCAGAACACGGGTTGGGTTGCAGGTTGCACCGCTGCTATCCAGTACAGCAGGTTAAGTAAGCCCTGGCCCCTCAGGCATGCCTGAGAATTTGCCTGAGAGCCCGTTTTGGGGAGAGGGCTGCCTGAGAGGGGTTATTGTGCCTTAGCGCTCCTGATCCTCGCT